ATATTTTTCATTTAAATAAAGACAAGTGAATAAGCTTTAAGATGATACCACTAACTCTACATGCTGAAAAATTGACGAGAGCCTGATTCCACCACGCTGCCTCACATATGAAAAACATACAGAACCACCCATACTTCTCAGTGAAATGGAAAAGGCGCTCAAAACCAGCCCAAAGAACGAAGCCCCAGGACCAGATGGCATCACAGTGGAAGACATAATAAGAGCTTGTGGAAACCCAGGCGTACTGTGGCTATGGCGGATTTTCAATAGAGCCTTGAAGGAAAGGAAATGCCCTGAAGAGTGGCAGAAAGCCAAAGATCTAGTTCTATTTGCAGACAACCATTGTCTTATTCATCCAAACCAACAAAGCCTCCAAAATCATCATCATCATCATCCAGTGCCAGATCTGCGACAGACATCGGCGATCATGATTTTCCATTCATTCCTTTGCTCTGATGCTCTACCGAAATGAACAGCAGTTGCGAAAGTTCAACATGAAAATAGGCACGTCAAAGGCAGGAGTTATGAAAGTGAGCCGAAACTGTAGTCCCCTGAACATCCATGTCAATAGTAAACAACTGAAAATAGTAAAGGAGTTTAAATATCTTGGCAGCACTTTTCTGAAAACGGGTCCATAGACAGAGAAATAGAAATGCAAACCCCAAAGACCAACGCCGCTGTCACCTACCAGGACACAAAGAGACAGCTTATCATCTCAATATTCATACCAACATTATGCAAGCAGTGCCAGACTTGGACATTAAGCACACTCCATGAAAACAAAATCACCGCATGCGAAATGAAATGTCTCCGCAAAACTCTTAACATCACAAGACGAGACAGGCAGAGAAATGAAGAAGTAAGAGCAGCTATCGGCACTGAGTCCAGCCTGCATTACGTAGAAAGACAGAGAATAAATTAATGGTTTGGCCACATGTTACGTATGTCACTCACCAACGAGCCCCGAGAGCCTACAGTAGCAAGCACTCAGGCTATAAAAGAAGAGGAAAGCCACGCAAAAGATGGATCGAGGGTATCAAGGAAACCCTGAGACCACATAATATCACAACTGAAAGAGCTGCGGAGCTGGCCTACCATAGAAAACTGCACCTCCCCTCGACGCTTAACGGCAACAGAGGATGAAAAAGTAAAAGTATAGTAAGCAATATAATACTATGCTATAATTCTACGACAGTTTGAGGAAAATGAGATGAGAGTACATCGTCCATTCAAAACCCCACAAAGCATTGGAATGGCTTTGCCAAGCTGGAAATAGCTGTGACAAGCTAAATAAATCATACATTTTGAATAATAATGTCGCAAATAGATACTGATCAAGCGCATACAGCATTGCATAAGTGGATATGCGCTATATAAATGCAATCCATCATTATTTTTATTATTACTGATCTAGTGTAAAATTTCCCGGTGTATCCAGTTATTGTCCTTTCCCCAAAAGGTCAAACGAACTGGACCAGAATTCTGACGCCGAAAGGTTCTGGTTCTTTTCATGAGACCTGAATAACTCCCTTGAGCTTTCTAGGCGGATGGTATCGGACGAACATTTAGTTGTGAATGACGAAAATGAAGTGAAAGTTGGCATCGGAATGGGAGCTTTTTGTGGTTGTTTTTTTTTTTTCTTGTTTTTTTTTTTTTAAACACTGGAGATAGTTTTTATTTAGAATACATTTATGAAGAAAATGAAACTCGAGATGTGACGATGTTCACCTCAGAGAAACTGGTTTCTCAGATGACGTAAATATAGAAAGCGATGCAAATAAAGAAAAAGAGCTGAAAAAGAAAGCTATGTTTTTTAAGTAGGTTGGATCAGTTACGCTCTTTGAGATTGTGGAAGAGGAAAAAAAAAACTTCCTGTGCAAAATCCACTTTTGTCGTCCTTGAAAGTAGTTCAGGTTGTTAGTAGTACGTGTATAGGATATCCACTTTTTAAATAGATGGTGCTAAATCAGTACTGCTTTCGACATTTGACTGCCTTGGTTTAGTTTTAGCAAGAGTTTTACGACACTTGCAACACCATAAGTTCATAAGTGCCCGAAGATTCGAGGTGTTGCAAGTGAGTAACAAACATAAAAAGAAGGAGGAGAGATCAGGACGACTGATGTTTGATAGGAAAGAAGGAGCGAACTACGCCAGAGCACCCGCCAACCACCCACTCCAGCATGGCAAAGTTCTGTGAGACATTTTTGGCCGTTTGGAGTTACCAAGACCATGCGGTCAGAAACCAAAATGTTCTATCGTCTCT